TTTAGATTTCATTCCCGAGTTTTATTTATTGTTTTGCACATTAATTTCAATTTAATCATAAGTCAAAAATTGCATAATTGAGGTTCAATTAGGTCTACATCCACTTCGGTAATTTAGTTTCGGTTAAAGCTAAGGTAGATAAAATTTGGACTAATCAATCTCTGTGGGACTATATTCGGACTCATTGAATCCACTTTATTACTTGTTAACGAACCGTACACTTGCGGTGGTTTAAAATCGAAAGAAATAATTTCGTGAACATGTAATATCATTTTATGAAAGAATGTGTAATTGAAATGATGTCAAATTACTATTTGAGAATGTATTTTTTAAAACAATGTGGCTCAAACACGGCCATTCTTTCCCTTGAATTAAAGCACGTGCCTAGCAAGGCCCGTTTCTGAAAAAAATTCCTTTTTTTTTAAAATTCATTTTCAATCAGAGAATGTATTTATCAAGTTTTTAACAACTCATTTTGATAAAAAAAAAATTTATCAAAAATTGGGGCTTAAGGATTTATTCGGTAGTGATTATAAAAATTGATTTTTTGATCGTTAGAGAAAAAAGTGAGTTTCACCCGTGAGTGAGGAAGTAAAAAATGACGACTATAATAGTGAAATAACTATAAAAAAAATGATTTTTTGGGGTGAAAAATTGTTACCAAATGAGACCAAATAACATTGTTGTAATTTTTAAGCATCAAAAAAGACTTTATGGCCCTTTGAATTTTTGCACGAGATTAGGGCCTCACGTGCCTAGCCTTGTGTTTAAACACATCGAAGCATAGACATTCTAACGAGTATTTTCTGTGGATGATCAAATAGTGAAATATGAGACTTCAAGCTGTGAATCTGTAGAAGTAATTGAGCTTACAGGTAGGAATATATATATATATAAATTTTGGGAAAAAAAATTTAATTGTGTTTGATGCTACCAAAAAATAGTACTTGAAAGATCTCGAACTTGATGATCGAACTTCAAGCTTGGATGAACACGAACGATCTTCGAATACCTGAAACAAAGGTAACGAGGTGTGTGCTCGTCGCCCCTCCAATGCTCAAGTCAGATAGAAAATTTAGTGCGTGAGGCTATAAACTAGAGATAATGAAAAACGTACCTCAAGAATGAGCTCGCGTTATGTATTTATAGGTGTTGATGATAGAGTCCTAGAAGGACTTACCCATGTGTGATCTTTATCCTCGTATGATAAGGAGTTAGTGTTTCATTTCAAGTGTTCAACCATTGGTTGAGTCGAAGAAGGAGTCAAATAGGGTAAGGATTGTGGTCTAAGTAGAATTAGTGTTCTCATAGATTGTATAGAAGGACTGGCGAGCTGACATACAGACCCGACCTTATATGCCTGACCTTGGTTTGGAGTTTTATGGGGTATTAAGATCGGGGTTCATGAGAAGTGTTTGGGGTTCATGGATTGAGTTCATGATTGACAAGATCTAGGGTCATCACAGGCCCCGTGCATCGAGGTCGTAGATTTCTGTCCAAGCTTGATCTACAAGCGAAGATGTAAAGGCATAAATGTCCAGGTGTCTTTCCACGTGTCAAGCGTTCGATGGGATGTCAGAGAACAACCTTAGATGGCCGCCACGTGTAATGTCAGAGCACGAGCTTGGATGGCCTCCACGTGTCTCGGTCCAAGGGTTGAGATTGCTTGACCGTTGGTATTCCACAGTCCCCTATAAATATCCCAACTTTCACCCCCATATTTTACTTTTCACTCTCATCTCCCAATAAATCGAGTTTAAGTTCGAGGATTGGTGGGTTTGTGAGCGACCATCCACAGAGGTAAGAGTTCGAGCCTTTAAGTTGTTTTATTTGATTATAGTATAATGTCGAGTAGTGGTAGTACGGGGTCTAGTAACAGTGACAGTAGCCCAGAACGTAGAGACTCGAACCATAGTGATAGGCCTGAGGACTTAGGTACTTTGATTATTCCTATGGCCATCCCTATTAATTCCCATACTGATGACCTGATATACCCCAAAGAACTGACCAAGTACAAAGAGCGTGTGGTTATTAAAATAGCTAGAGAATTCGGGGTCATGCCTACTTGTGGTATAAGAGCCCCAGGGCTAACTGAGACTGTGTTAGGAGCTCGAGAGGGAGAGATGACCTTTTCAGAAACGCTTTTAAGGCCGGGCTTAGGTAGCCCGTCGCCCGTTTTTCATCCATTTTCTGACTTCATACTACCTGTGCCCGGGGCAACTAGATCCGAATGGCTAGAGGTTGTTAGTGTATTTCTTTATACTATGTAGGTGTCTTGAGGTTGAACCTAGACTCGACCTACTACGGATGGTTTTTTACATGAAATTCTCCCTGGGCTATAACTGTTTTGTTTATTTATCCACCAAGGGGGGTTTAGAACTCCTGAGACCCCGAGCTCTCTCAAGGGTTAGAAGGAACAATTCTTTTTTGTGAAGCCCCAAGACCCCGACCATCCTTTTAGCCTGAAGTGGGAAATTCCTGATAAGGATAGGTTCAACAAAGGTCAGGCCTATTTTGAGATTTTAGAAAGAGATAGGCTGAGGTTAGTGAATCACAATCCCTTGGCAGAGAAGATCGACTATCTACTCGAGGATGACACCTTCGAGCTTGCCAATGTAAAAGGCCTCGAGGGTATGATTTTTCTTGTAATTCTGTGATTTCAGTCCTAAGCATCGACCTATAGTTCGAGCTAATGTCTTGTCTTCTTTTTTTGCAGATCTTGAAATGTCTTTCGATCTGTCTACACTTCTGGACAATGTACATCAGAGGGCAAGGGGCCCGAAGTCTAAAGCCCCGACAACTACCCCGTCCAAGGGGAAAAAACGGGCGAGGGAGATGGCCCGTCCTACCCCGACTAGTCTAGGGCAGAGGTCGAAAAGCCCGACCCCTCCAAGCCAGCCCACGCATAGCAGCAAGCTCGGGCTCGTACTCCTACCTTTGGGCCGAACCTCCTTGCTGATGACGATGATCCGATGCCCACTAGGTCGCTCGAGGAGTATGCTGATTGTGCTCTTATCCAGAGCATAGTCGACAAGTATGAGAAGGAGGTCGATTCAAATGAAGGGGTTCGGACCCTCGAGCTCCTTACTCTGAAGGTTTGCTTTTAATATGGTTACTTCTATTGTCATTGATAAGTTTTTGTCCTTGACTTGACTTCGAGTATAACACTTGTTTTTGCAGACACTAAGTGTAGCTCGAGATTTGGGGCTCAAGGGCTTGAATTCCTCAACTCAGATAGCCGAGCTCGAGGCCAAGAGCGAGATGGCTTGTAAGAGGGCCCACGAGCTCGAAATGGCCCTGGAGGTGGCCAATGCGGACCTAAAGAAAAACAAGGACGAGGTCGGGGTGGCAAGGGAAGAGGCCGAAGCGGCAAAGCTCGAGCTCCTTCAATCCCGGAGTGCCTTTGAGGAGGAGCTGGTGAAAGCTCAGGCAGAGGCTAGAACTCAGGCCATCGAGGAGTTCAAGCAGTCTGATGAGTTTAAGACTCTTCTGGGCCAGTACGGGTCTGGCTTGTATTACTATGGGCTGCGACTAGCTCATTCATTCCTCTAGACCAAGCTCCCTAAGGACTTGAAGCCCGTAGTTGAGGAGCTAAAGACTGTGAACGAGCTCTCAAAGGACCTCGACTTTCTTCTTTAGAGGTTGATGGGGATGACGACGACGACGATGCTGGGACCCTGACCATGGAGGCGGGAGCGACCCCATCGATCTAGATTAGGCCCGTACCCTGACCTCGAGATAGACATTATTGTAACTTTTCTTTTTGCTTATGTACTTTGCCTGATCTGGGCTTATGGACTTGATTTTTTGCTAAGATATATTGCTCGAACTGGGCTTCAATCTTTAAAAGGATTTTTGTTATCATTTCATGCAACTTGTTTTTGTCTCGAGATCGTGCACGTATTTTATGTTTGTATGTGGATATTGTGATTTTTGAATTCGAGCTGTTATAATTGTTACGAGTTCGATCGTTAATATAGATCATACGTCACAACCAATACTCGAATGTATGTAGCCCAGGTGTATGTAGTAGTTCGGAGATATAGTCTGTCTTAACAATACTGATCGTTGAAACTATGGACAAATCGATCCTTTTACTTTAAAAATTGGGCTTCAATTTCTAAGTTCGAAGATGTATTGTTATGTTTGGGGTCAACGAGTTTGAGTATTAGTGTTGGGTACTCATTTTTCAATTTGCTATATCGAAGGGCAACCATTGGGTCGCTGATGATTTAAAGGATAAGGTCGGGCTTGTCCCTTGTAATTTAAACATCTTCTTTCCTTTGTGGATAAGATCGGGCGTGGCCACGTGAAGTAAACTTATTTCATGCCCCGATCTCGATCTCAAAATTCTTTGTCGTGAGGGCATTTTGGGATCGAAGAGGTCGGGGCCTGTTATGCTCGACCTGTTGCCATTTGAGGTCGTGTGTTTGGTTCTATTGGTCGAGTGTTAGTTGCATGCGCGGAGCACGGCCTTATGTTAACTTGGTTAAGGGTTAGCTGCATGCGGAAAGCACAGCCTTACGCTAACTTGGTTAAAATATTAGCTGCATATGTGGGGCACGACCTTATGCTAACTTGATTAAGGGTTAGCTGCATGCGCGGAGCACTGCCTTACGCTAACTTGGTTAAGGTATTAGCTGCATGCGCGGGGCACGGCCTTATGCTAATTTTGTTAAGGTATTAGCTCCATACGCGGGGCACGGTCTTATACTAATTTTGTTAAGGTATTAGCTACATGCGCGGAGTACGACCTTATGCTAATTTTGTTAAGGTATTAGCTACATGCGCGAGATACGACCTTATGCTAGTTTGGTTAATAGGGAAGCACATCGTAAAGAAAATTTTGTATATTATTAAAAGGGCTCAAGGGCGTTGATACCCGAGCTTATTGGAGCATGAGCTGTTAGGGCGTTAGAACCCGAAAAATAAAAACGAAATAAAGCAAACATAAAGTGGGCATGCAAGCCTTAAAAAGGAAAAATTATAGCTATAGCTAGTTACTTGTAATAAATTTTCAGATTATCCGCATTCCATGGTCGTGGGAGCGGTTTTCCCGATGTGTCTCTGAGGCTATAAGCTCCATCTTTTAATTTTCTTATGACCTCGAAGGGTCCTTCCCATGTTGGTCGGAGCTTCCCTGGTTGGTGTCCGACAGTTTCTGCTTTTCTAAAGACAAGATCGCCAGCTCTGAACTTTCTCATCTGGACCTTATTGTTAAAGTGCTTCTTTGTTCTGTTCTGATAACTTGCAGCTCTAAGTGAGGCTTGCTCTCTTACCTCTTCAAGCAAGTCAAGGTGCTCAGTAGTTTGTCTCTCCCTATTCATCTCGAGCTTCCTTATTGTGGAGAGGCTGACCTCGATTGAAATGGTAGCCTCAAGTCCAAAGGCAAGCATGAAGGGTGTCTCACCAGTTGCTGTCTTATGCGAAGTCCTGTATGCCCATAGTATAAAAGGCAGTTCATTAGGCCAATCACCTTTGGCATCCCCTATTCTCGTTTGAAGGTCCTGCAGTATGATCCGATTAGTTACTTCGACAAGCCCATTACTTTGTGGGTGTGATACCGAGGTCAAGCGATGATCAATCCCATGGTTGGCATAGAAGCTCCTGAACTGTGGATTGTCGAATTGCCTTCCGTTATCTATGATGAGGACTTTTGGTATCCCAAACCTGTATATGACGCACTTCCATATGAATGACCTGAGCTTCGGTTCCGAAATTATTGCTAGTGGTTCGGCCTCTACCCACTTTGTAAAATACTCTACTACCATAGATACAAATTTTAATTGTCCTCGGGCCAAGGGGAATGGCCTAAGAATATCGACTCCCCACTGTTCGAAGGGGGCTAAGTAATGAATGGAAGTTAGTTCCTCAGCAAAAACATGTATGATGTTGCCAAACTTTTGGTACTTGTCGCACTTCCAAATGTAATCCGCAGCATCTTTCTTTAAACTTGGTCAGTACTATACATACCTTATCAACTTACATGCAAGAGCTCGAGCTCCTTGGTGATTTTCACAAATGCCTTCATGAATTTTAGTCAAGGCTTGTAGAGACTCGAATGGTTTGAGACATCTTAGATAAGGGAGTGTAAAACTTCTGCGGAACCGGACTCCTTCGATTAGACAATAACTAGTAGTTCTATACCGAATGCTTCTAGCAAGCCGAGGGTCTACATGTAGGTTGCCATTACTTATGTAATCAACTATTGGGTCCATCCAGGAGGGCTCATGGTCGATGTCCATGACACTTGGCTTTCGAACTATGATGGGTTCTGCAACTATCTTGACGTGCACGGTTCTATCGAGCCCGTCCACACCCATGAAGATAAGTCTGGATAATACATCGGCTTTGGCCACCTTTAGGATTTCACAACTTATGACTGCCTCTAAAGGTCATGTACTTTCAGACAGTATAAACTCATCTTCTCGTCTTTTCTTTCGAAAGACCCCTCGATTTGCCCGACCACTAGCTATGAGTCACTAAAAACTTTGACATGCTCCAACTCGAGACTTTTTGCAAGTTTCAAGGATATGATAACGACTTCATACTCTGCTTCGTTGTTGGTGGCATCAAATTCAAATATGAGCACGCATTGTATTTATGTAGCCTTGTGGGCTGGTAATGATGGCGCCGACCCCTGAGCTCGAGCTATTGGATGCTCCATCTACAAAGATCTCCCATATTTTCAAGGTTGTGCTCGGGTCATTAACCTGTGTTTTCGGTGTCCTCAAAGTGAGTTCTGCTATGAAGTCAGCCAAAGCTTGAGCCTTGATTGCGGCTCGCGGCTCGAACACTATGTCAAATACGCCGAGTTCAATTGCCCATCTCAACAGTCTTCCTGAGACGTTCGGCTTCTGGAGTATGTGTCTAAAAGGTTGGTTGGTGAATACCACAGTTGGATGTAACTGAAAGTATGGTCGCAACTTCGAGGCAGCTATTACCAAAGCAAGGGCCAATTGTCTGCAAGTGTGTACCGTGTTTCTGCATCGAGGAGTACTTTACTCACATAATAGATAGGCTGCTGAACTCTTTCTTTCTCCTTTACCAAGACTCCGCTTATTGCATTCTGGGAAATGACCAAGTATAATAGCAACGTGTCACCGGGTTCGGGTTTGGTAAGGACTGGAGGTGTTGCTAGTGTCTGTTTGAGCTCCTGAAAAGCTAAGTTGCATTTCTCATTCCAGTCAAAGCTTTTATTTTCTCTAAGTAGTTTGAAGAAGGGAAAACACTTGTCCACTGCCCGAGAAACAAATCTATTTAGTGTTGCTATGCAACCTGTCAACCTCTGAATGTCCCTTCTGCATTTAGAGGCCTCCATATTTATCAGAGCTTGAATTTTATCAGGATTCGCCTCTATTTCTCTGTTCGTGATCATAAAACCTAAGAACTTTCCAGATGCCACCCCAAACGCACACTTTGCAGGGTTGAGCTTTATGTTATATCTCCATAACGTGGAAAACACTCCCTCAAGATCAGAGACATGACTATTCACCTGTTTGCTTTTAACCACCATATCATCCACATATCCTTCGATCATTTTCTCAATTAATTCGGCGAGATGTTGTTTACCAACCTTTGATACGTTGCTCCAGCATTCTTTAGTCCAAAGTGCATGACCCTGTAATAATAGATGGCTGAGTTTACCATGAATGAGGTCTTCTCTTGATCTTCTTCCGCCATAAGTATTTGGTGATACCCCGAAAAAGCATCCAAGAAGCTATACAACATATGCTTTATTCAGATCCGTGAAGTCAATGCAGACTCGCTATTTCCCGTTAACTTTCCTGACCAGAACTACGTTAACAAGCCAATCGGGATATTGTACTTCCCGAATGAACCGTGCGTTAACAAGTTTGGCAATCTCTTCCTTTATGACTTCTCGTCTTTCGGGTGCAAACTGCCTTTTCCTTTGCTTCACAGGTCTTGCCTCCGTGTTTACATTGAGTTTGTGCACCGCAATCTCTAGGTCAATTCCAAGCATGTCCTCAACATTCCAAGTGAATACATCAATGTTGCTGGAGAGACAATTCAGTAGTTCCGCCATGACTGCTGTATTCAACTCCTGACCGACTGTCACTTTCTTGCCAGGCTTGAGCTCGACCTCTTCCAATCCTTCCACTGCAGACAATCTGTCATGATTCCCATGCTCGAGCTCGAGCTCTATAATCTGCATGACGTCGCTCTTAACTCTTCGAACACTAGTCACATAACACTGTCGTGCTACTGTTTGGCTACCTCAACCTACCTTGATTCCATTACTTGTCGAAAATTTCATTGCCAAGTGAAAAGTTGAAACAATAGCTCGAATTCTGTTGAGCAATGGTCTTCCTAATATGGTGTTGTAGGCCATTGGAGTACGGACACTTTCAAAGAAGGTGATCTGCATCACCTGTTTACCTTCTGTCCCCAATGTTAAAGGCAACCCGACGATACCTTCCGGGGTGATGACCCTACCTCCAAATCATTGGAGAGGTGTTTTGACTGGTTTGAGCTGCTCCGATGAGATCCCCATTTGAACAAAAGCTTCATGAGACAGTACATTAGCTGCACTTCCGTTGTCTACCATAACTCTCTTGACTTCAAAGTTGGCGACGATGGCCAATATAACCAGAGCATCATTATCAGGGAATGCTACGCCTTCCAAGTCCTCCGTTCCAAAAGTGATGTCCTCTGTACAATCAAGATATGATCTTGAGATGATTGGAGGCTACCTGACATATTGTTTATGCTCGATACTAGAATCTCTCCCGAGACCATTCCTCCGACAATGATATTGGTAGTACCTACAGTTGGTTGCTTGTTTCCCCGACCCTCTGGGCCCTTGTCTTTGTTCTGATTATTCCTTGGGCATTTGTCATTGCTAACGTAAGAACCCAAAAATCCCCTTTTTATAAGAGTTTCAATTTCCCGCTTCAAGGCGAAACAGTCTTCCGTTATATGTCCATGATCTATATGGAAATCACAGTATTTACTCTTGTCACGAGTATTGGTTGGAGACAGTAATATGGGAGGCCACTTCAGTTCTTTCGAATCCTTGATCTCCATTAGAATGTTGGACCTCAAGGTGTTGAAACGGGTAAAGGATATTGAGGAGGGGTCCTGCCTTGGCTTGACCCGAGGTGCATCTTGTCTCAAACTGGACTCATGCGGCCTTTTCTGATCCAACCTTCCTGATGAGGAAATTTCTCTTTTGGGGCCATGGTTTCTTTCATATTGATGTATTTTTCAGCTCGTGTGAGTAGCTCAGTTATTGACTTCTGTGGGGTCTTAGTACCACGCGATTTATGCAACGTGATTTTTAAACCGCAAGTGTACGGTGTCAAGTTTTGTAATATAGTAAAGAAGTTAGGATGTCGAACCCACAAGGATTGATATTCGAGTAAATTGAGTACTATAATTATTTTAGCCTTCACTTTATTTAGACAATCAAATGCTGAAACGATGTTTTATGCTAAATTAAAATAAATGGGATGAACGACGCAAGTAAATGAGGATAAATTATAGAATTTCTTATCAAATTATGAATGCCTATGGAATGATTTCACAGTACCTTCGACAATATTTTTCAACCGTATAACTATTTCTATCGATCTTTCCAAAATTTATAGGCAAGAACGCTAAAGTGATTCTATTTCCCTCTCTCGAGCGTCAAATAAAATCTATTTCTATATTTTAATTCCAATATCTCTATTTCGAATTAAAGATATAAAAACTATCAAGCACGTGATTCTTAATTGAAACAAGCCTCAAAGATTCGCACCTTCTCTCGAAACCTACGAAATCTAGGCTATGTTGTCTTAGATCACGCTTAAACTGCCTCTCTCAAGCGCCAAAATTTAGAACATCAAATCAATCAATTATTGGCCAGTTAATTGAAAGCATTGCACACAAACAACATAAATAAATAAACGGAAAGATTAATTGAAATAATTAAAACGGAATTCAAACATTTCTAAAGCAGGCTACATCAACCCTATGATTAACGTTTAGTGCATAATTGAAAGAATTAACACAAGTAAATTAAAATGAAAGCACATGGAAAAGAAAAATGAATGGAAAAACTCGTTTGTAGCAACTTGATTTCTTTCCCAAAATTAATTCCTTCAATTGTATTTGTCTTTCCAGCCGTGCCCCCTTTTTCTCCTTTCTTCCTTCTCAATCCCAGAAGTTTGAGTGAATGAAAATCCCCTTCAATTGTTCTGTAATTGCCGACTGTTCTCCCCAGAATTCTCTTGCTCGTTCCCCCTATACGCGGTTAGTTTCCACAGATTTGTAATGTGTGGCTCTCCCCTTTTTTTTAGGTTTTTGGGTGGTATTTATAGTTTCTAGGAGTTTTGGACAGGTTGGAGTCGATTTGGACCGAGAAATATATTTTAGAAATCTGAATTTCCCTTTCTCGGAATGCAGCACCTGGACGCTGAGTTTCTGTTGGAATTATAGCATTGTGGCGCCGGGCGCTGAGAGTATAGCGTCTAGGCGCTCGGTTCGCCGAAACGGCATTCTGCGCGTGTTTCAGTATTTTTAGCATAACTTTCTTGTTCGATATCCAATTGAAGTGATTCAAGATGACTTGGAAAGGTAATTCAAAGGGCTACAACTTTGCTTCAGGAAGAATTCTCAAATTCGATCGTTTGCTATGTCAAAAATGGGTCTGAATGTGAAACTAAAAATCCGATGCAAAACTTTTCAGTTGGAAAATGATTTATGATCATATCTTGATTAAATTTGATCCCTTTTGACACCTTCCTTCATCCAATTGACTCCTACCACTCTCAGATCTTCATTGCAAGTTCCGATACAACTTTTGATTATGTGCACTTTAGTCCTCAAACTTTGGATCTCTTACATTTTGGTCCTTTTATCCAATTTCGCCAACTTTTGCCTATTTCTTTCATTTGGCCTCTTTTAGCACTTGTTTTCTCCACTTCATCCATCCTTCAAAATAGCGTGAAAACCACATGTTAGCACCTCTAAAATACTCTCCAAGATAGCAAAATCATGAAATTAATGGCATAATATAATAAGTGTAAATCACTCATCACTTAGACAACGACATCTTGAATGCTTCACACTTGACGGCGTATGTCAAAGCTGAGACTGCGGCAGTGATATGTAGATCGGGGATCTGAAGCCTTTTTATATTGAACCTTGTCATGAAACTGCGTCGTGTCTCATTGGGTCCTTGACGCATCTGCATGAGTGATTCGGCTGTCTTTCTGATTCGCTTGCAGCTTGCAAAGAAAACGGAGAACTTATCGGCCAAATCTGAAAAGTAGGCGATAGAGTTCAGTTCCAATGTGGAAAACCAATCTCTAGTTGTGTTTGTGAGGGTCTGAGGGAAGGCCTTGCACATCATTGCATCTGGTGCAATTTGTAAGTTCATGATATCGGTGTACACATTGAAATGATTAATGGGGTTGATTATCCCATCGTACTCCTTTATCCGAGGATACTTGAACCTATTCGGGAGAGGATATGAGAGAACTTCTGGAGTGAACGGCGTATTGGGGGTGAATCCTGCTTCTGCCAGAGTATTCTATTGCATACCTACTGCTATCCCTTCTTGAATAATTCTAGCAAGTTTTGCGGAGTCCATTGTAATGGACCTTGAACCTGAAGCCACTTGCAGTGCACCTGAAGTTCCAACCCTTCATCATCATGACCTTCGGGGGTTGGAGTATGTGACGGGTGTGAATTTCTTTGGCTTAACAATTGGGTTAGTGCAGAAACCTGCTGACGAAGTTCCTTAAAAGCTCCGGCGGTGACAACAGCGTGAAAAGGTGTTGGCATCTTTGACGATTCTTCTTAAGGGCATGGCGTTCCTTAGGAGGAGGAGGGTTATTCGAGACGGATGAACTTGCAGGAGGAAGACCTGAACATGTATTGACCCTGGCTTTTTGTAGCGCTTTCCACAGACGGCGCCAATGATGCTACAAAAAAATAGTACTTGAATGTTCTCGAACTTGATGATCGAACTTCGAGCTTGGATGAACACGAACGATCTTCAAATACCTGAAACAAAGACAACGAGGTGTGTGCTCGTCGCCCCTCCGATGCTTAAGTCAGATAGGGAATTTAGTGTGTGATGCTATAAATTGGAGATAATGAAAAACGTACCACAAGAATGAACCTAGGTTATGTATTTATAGGTGTTGATGATAGAGTCCTAGAAAGACTTATCCATGTGTGACCTTTATCCTCGTAGGATAAGGAGTTAGTGTTTCATTCCAAGTGTTCAAACATTGTTTGAGTCAAAGAAGGAGTCAAATAGTGTAAGAATTGTGGTCTAAGTAGAATTAGTGTTATCATAGATCGTATAGAAGGACTGACGAGCTGACATACAGACCCGAACTCATATACCCGACCTTGGTTTGGTAGTTTTAGTGGGTATTAAGATCGGGGTTCATGGATTGAGTTTGGAATTGACAAGATCTGGGGTCATCAGTGTTGTTGTAAAGTAGGAAAAACTTATAGGTCAGTCCAAACACAAAATTATTTTATTAAAAAGTGTATAATTGAAAATGATTTGAGTAAAGAAAATGAATTTTAATTTTTTTTTTACTAAATTAGGCTAAAACTCCATGATTTACCTAAAATTATTTGTAAGCGAGAGACTTTGGCCGTTTAAAATTGTATAATCACAATCAAACTCGCTCCGTAGAGAATACCAACTAACAAAGGGGATCAACGAAATTAACAATCAGCTCCATCCGCCGTTAATACCATAAAAAAGTGAAACCACCGGCTTAGATCTTATCAGGTTTCAAAATTTTCTCCATTTTTAAATTTTACAATTGAATTCAATTCAATTTCAGGTCTTAAAATTAAAATTAGAGCCAAACCCAGGAGCTCACAGCTCAACGAAGAACCCTAATTACTTGTAAACTCACGAGTTGATTACTCAAAAACCCAACCTTTCGATTCCGTGAGAAAGGATTTGAATTATTTGAAGGATAAGAAATATGATTGATAGAAAGTACGGTCGTCGGAATCGAAGCTTGTCAAGGAGGTGTTCGGAGAGTAACGGCTTCCCAGATGTTGATACGGACTGTCTTTCCCAAGAATGCCCTCAAGATGTTTACGATTTTACGTACTCGTCTCAGGGCTCAACTCAGTGTCACTGGCCTGATTCATATGGTTTCAATTCATCGCAGGAGTCGAGGCAATTGACGA